ATCCAAGAACAACGCCTTTCGGAAGCCAACTGTGGATCCACGAATACAATTGAAACATGTTGTTAGTATTTCGAAGTTCATTTAATTGGCTCGATTAAATTTTCGTCTGCGCAATTCATTTGTAAAAAGTCTGTTATCAAGGAAATGTAACTTAAGCCATGAGCCTTACTACGTCTGCTTTACTTGTAAGGAAATTTTAGGCGATCTTATTGAACCGATTACCCAGTAATATAAAATCTGTGGCTTTAGCCGTGTTCAAAATTACGACGGAAACGACAAGGTTTCAGTGGCCCAACTAAATGAGCTTCGAGGTCCCGACCGACGGCCTTAAGTAATATAGTTCATCCGAATACTTCGGAACTTCTACCGATAACTCAACGTTCAACTGTTAAAAAAACAATTTAAACAAAATCTGTACCTATCTATCGGTGTCTCGAATCACACCAATGCTCTAGGGTTTTTCTCAAATGCGTAGCTCGCTCAACCCTTCACATACGCCCAAAACCCTTATAAATATATTTTTCTAGAAAAAAATGTTTGTGAAACTTGTAGGACTCGGTTTGCCAAAACCACAATACTTTTACATTGGAGGATTCATTTATAAAATGAGCCGCCATTCTTCCAAAATACTGAAAATATCAGTGAAGCACCGTGGTAAAAACGGAGTTTTTTGACTTCTACTACTTGCAATAGAGACAGTGTTTGAATTTGATTCCGGGGCAAAGAGTAGGAGCACTCTGTTTGGGCTTTCCCGCTGAGGTAAAACACGTAATTATTGCCCCTTGTATAAAGAAATTTACAGGCAGAGAAAACTAATCATCATTATTTTCATATCTTACCATCCGAATTGACAGAATCACTTAGTAGGAGTTACCTAGTCTGCTGCCATTGAGTCGGTGATTTAACCTTTGCGTTACCCCAAATGTATCCAACATTCTCAAATGTATCACATACGTCGAAAGCACGTATAAATGCAAAGGTTTTTACCTTCTCAAACTCTCTTTGAAGAGATTGGTTAAATTAAATCTCGACAAAGAAGAATATGCGATGGCTGGAATAGGCCGTTTATTGGCCTGGATTCTCGCTCGAATCCATCACCAGGAACTGCTGTAAGTGGGGGTGAGGGGGTCGCGGGACTACGGTAAGATACAGTTGTCCTGCAGCCACATGCCTACTCGAATGAACGGATCTCGCGTTCATCGTTGGCGGTCGTGTAGTGGTCGCTGCCGGCCGACGCCCTCCATTG